CACCACGTTATTGTTTGTAAATACCGAATAAAATTATTAAAGGGAGAGGGGAATTAACCTTTGGATATTTTTAAAGCTGCTCCCTGAAATAAAGGTATCAATTTTGAATATGTTTTTCTGAAAAATTATTAAATTGAACAGAGTATTCAGTAATGATTATTCATAATATATATTTTAAGAATATTTTTCTTAAAAAAAGCCAATGTATACATTAGAGGTTTCAAAATAATGTTGAAGTCAGGAGAAAATATGCAATCGAAATCTGGCGAATCATTATCGAGGCGAGGAAACAGAGACGTGAACGTGATTAAAATCATTAAATACTGTTGTTGATTTTTGTTATGCCTTTCAGCTGCTCTCTTCTTCTAGGGAGCATGCTCGGAGACATTTTACTTTTTAACTGATTTCTCTTTCCTTCCGCAATCAAACAGGTTTTGATGCTATCAGATGCATCCTCATTAATAGAGAATCGTTAGATTTCAATTTCGTTTTTGTGTTTCCTTTGCATACAAAATTAATTTGCGACACATATTGTTTGTTTACATTACATTTTTTACATTTACATTTTTTTACAAGTGTTTTAAAAATCTGTATTAAGTGTAGTCGTTATGGAACTAAGTAATCAAACAATAACTGGAGGGCATACATAAGAAAATGTAGAGGCAAACATTAAACCCAATACTTATGCTGCAGTTCCAATAAAGAAACGATACATTGATATACTGATGTTGACGCGCCACTAATGGGAGAAATCATTAACCGACAAAGAACACAAAAACTGAATTTGCGTAGAAGTCAATCTGAGGACATTTAATGATTTTCGGTGAGATTTCCAAGTTCAATCAAAAGATTCCAGAAAAAAATTCTACTCTGGATACATTCTTTCAACATAATTTTTTTTTATTCTTCTTTTGCTTGCCATATCATTAAGCTTTTGACAGCTTTTAACGACTGCGTCCCTATCAATATCTCCCCAAATGATATTCTGAATCGATTAACCGATAAAGCTGTTTCTCGCGAGTACTGTCTAATGTGGGAAAAATTGGAAAGGGTTAAAAATAAAACTGAAAAAGAAAAAAAACCGGAAACAAAACAGAAATATTTTTTCATTCCATTGAATTTGAGAGAAATAATAGATTATCCCCCCTGCCCACCAAAAAGAAGGAAAAAAAAGAGTTGTAGATCTGGCATCCACTGTAGAACACAACACTTCATTTGCTCAGACCTCAAAGTTGGAACTTTTATTAAGCGCGCCAGGCCAAATCTGCAGAAAAGGGGTTCTGAAGCCAAAAGCACTTCTCAAATCATTGATTAACGCACCCCTCCCTAGTTTCAACCCCCTCTGCCCTTATTTGTCTCCCCCTTCTCTAGTTCTCTCGGGGGAGAGGAATTATCCATCCTTATCCCCCGCCCCTCAGCAGCTGCCGTAATTTGGAACAATCTCGCCCCCACCCAGATATTTACTCCCCCTTGCCCCCTAGGGAGGGGAACTTGGAGAGAGCCAAGAGATAATTACAAAATCGATTCCTGCCCTCCCCCCCTTTTCGCACACTCCACTAGCGCATGCCCAGGCGTGGTAGTCGGCCGTGCCTTGCCCTACATTCTTGTTTGGTACAGGGGCGTCCTTTTGCCCATCTTTCTCATCAAAAGTCATTAGTTCTATTCGTTCTAGTACTTTGCCAGCTTTTTAACTTTTTTCTCTAACAAAAAATACACTAAAATGTTTTTGAATCTATGAGAATTTCTTTTAGTTCCTGCCTTTTCTAAAAATAAATGCAACTTTACTTACCTCAAAAGAGCTTGTATTTTCACTATTTTTTTAAAAGACTTTAATAATTCAAAACAGGGAGTAATATGTGTTCAATTAAGGGAAGAAAAATGTTCTAAATCAAACACAAATAAGTAAAAAAAAAGTTTTTCTAAAATCATTATAAATGCAGGAGAGCGGACTTTCCATTTGATACATTCTTCTTATCATTCAGTATAGGAAGTTCTTTAGTAATAATTATATTTAAATGAACTTAATTTGAGTTAGGATGCATAAATGTAAGAAAAAATATAAATGAACTTTGCTACATCTGCATTTGTTACAAAATATTGATTGTTTTTCAAATCATTAACTAAAATTTTTAATTATTGGAAAAAAGATTTTGGAGACAAATTTGTTTTCCAATTTAGTTTAGTGATTTTACAGTTACTTCAATTCATAAAAAAAAACCTATTCATCAATTCTAAAGCCATCAACAATCCAAAAGAAACATTTTCCAGACAAATGTTTCAATAACAGAAATCTTGTAAGTTAAAAATTGATTGACATGCCTATTTACACGAAAATGTAAAAAATAATTTTTTTTGGATGTGATGTTTTTCCTATTGACTAATTAAGTTTTGATACTGAGTTGAAATATTTTATGCCTTTACTCTAGGACTCTTTGATAAAATCAAATCATCTCCATTTTGCACAAATCAATGCTGCATACATTTAGGTTAGGTTTGATTATAGATCAAGGCCGGCACAATAGTAATAAAATAAAAATTAAATAGCAAAACATATAATTTAACAATTGAAAGTCCTTCAACATTTCCGACATGTCTGGCAATTGAAGAGAAATTTTTATTATTTATTTATTTTTACGATTTTTATGAAAAGGATAGTTACGCATATGAAAGAGAATATGTTTGAGTTGTAGTTAATATTTCTCCTACTTTTATCTCTTTATATAAAAGAGAAAGTCTACCTGGATCGTGTTTTTACAGGAGTTAGCAAATTTTCAAGGGGTGGCTTGTAAACAATTATCTCTTTCCGGCGTTGTATGCTTGTGGGGCACGATATCAAAAAAACGAAATTTCATTGATGAAAACTATTGTTAAAGAATTACAACGTACGATGTCATGAGAACAGCATTTTTACAAAATATTAATAAAAAAAAGCAGACAAAATCACTAGACAAAATTAAATATCCCTAAAGCTCGCTAAACTCGTTGTTTAAGTGCATAAGTAAAGTGCGCTAGAAACAAATATGCAGGCTAACATTAACGAAAATTGTGATAATAAATGTGCTTACTCTTTTTCGTTCAAACGGTATTTCAATTTCAAGGCTTTTAAATTTGTTAAATTCTAATACTAAAACATTTTAATGCTAATTATTAATAATAATTAATTGATTACAGCTTTTTTGATCTCAAATTTTAAATTCTCAAACTTTATATCATAAGCTTTATAAAAAAATCAGTACTCATTGGTCATTGGTGCCATAAAATCAAGTTTACCAATAAGTAGAACAACACTAGGTTCTAATTTACACAGGTCACCATTTACTGATAATACACATAGATGCAATGAATATGACAATATCGTGAACATGATACAACATCGCGATATTAACCCTTTGCGGTAGTATTAAGTTTATACATGCTGGTCGGAGTTAATTTTCGTTGAACGAACAGTAATGCATAATATGCAAGATTATGAAGTAAAAATAAAATGTATTTATTCTTTTTTTAAGCTTTAGATAAATATATGAAACACAGTAATGTTTTAATTTTATGTAAAAATTATATTTTATAGTTCTCCATAGTGTGGTTTCTTTCAAAGCAGTCTCCAATATGAAGCCCTGGGTTTTGAGAACATGTGTCAGAAAAATAATTAGTTTTGCGTCTTCCGCCTTTAATTTCACAGTTTGAATATTCAGAACAATTTTTACATCTTCACAGGGTCGCAATATATGTAGTTTGCCATTAAGCTGTGGCTAAAACCTTTGCTGTGGTGGCTGAGAGTAGACAGACGACAGCAAAGGGTTAACATTTGTACTCATTAGCCATGGGTGTCAATGTCTGTGTGGGTGACAACGTAAAAGTAGTCGCCAACAGATAGTCCTTATCCAATGAGAGGTTGGGTACAAACAACAAATCGATGCCCAAACGTGCATAAATTATAAATTTGAGTACACACATTTAAGACTTAGATCAATTAATTGGGTATAATATAGCCTACGTCACAGGTTGTGTTGTTCCTGCTAAATTTAACCCATGAACGGCATTTTCTGCGAGCCTAACTTCAAGCCACAAATAAACAAACGAAGTGTTCGATCGTTTAAATAGCTGCTCGCCAGATTTTATTGCATTATAAAGAAAAGTTATTGAAACTAAATACAACTAAATAAACAACAACAACTAAAACAAATAACAACAACTACTAATAACAATAACTAAATAAACAACAACTAAATTCCATTCGTTTAGCATTGCGTCATATGTTGTTCCTACTAAATCGAAGTAGTTGTGTTTTTTTCATATTATACCCAATTCACAAATCCTGAGTCTCAATATTAAGCAAAGAAAAGTTTTTAATAGAAAAAATCTTTTGCCCAGGCTTATAAAAAGGTAAATAAAAATGGTTAGCAAACTAAAACCAATTTAATTACCAATTAAACGTGTCAAATAAATAAATGTAAAGACTGATTTTGAATTTTTAACGTAAATGATCATTTACTTGGTTACGTTTTCTTTTAGTTCTTAAACTGCACCATTAGGGTAAATTATTTTTTAAAAATTTACTTTTAGCTTTAAAATGCATGCATTTTTTATGTTTACTGTTCTAGAACTACGTATTCCTTTAGCTTAAAGACAGTTTATAAGTGTTAAAGTTCGTTTCGCTTTGTGAAAAAAATTCTTACTACTGAAATTCGCAGGTTTGCATAACTAATAATAGCAAATAAGTGCACAATTTGATAATTATTTCAAAGCAGCTAATTTGATTTAGTTTTTATACTTAGTATTTATTTTTTAATGTTAGCGTAAGTTAAACTAAATATTTTAATAACAAGTTCACCACGATTCGCGATCGCAACGCTCGAGTACGCCGTCTAGCGGGAGCCTGTAAATATCGGACATTAATTTTTTATCACGTTTTCATTTAGTTCCATCAAAGTCATTGACTGAATCAGACGCCATTTTTTAGCAGCAAATAAGAAACAAAATTTCCCTAATGCCTCTATCACACGAGAGAAAATTATGTGCAACTGCAAGTGTAACTGCAAGTGTAAGTGCAACTGTAAGTGAAATTCCTCCGTTCGGAGTTGCCGAAAGGGTTGCTTAATTGCCTGAACGGTTGCATGAAATTGGGTTACCATATTTTGTTATTTATCAAAGCTTTGGCGACGGTTAGAATTTTATTTTATTATTCTCGTTTCTCTTCTAATATTTACACGTATGACTATTTTTTAATTAGTTATTACCAGAATTATACCAGAATCCTGTAATATTGATATCAACGATGGAAAATAAAACAGCAAATGCAGCTATTGTTTCTTTAATTATTCACGGTTTAATTAAGAGAAAGAAAGAACGAAAAACATTTTGGTCAAAAAAATGGCTACTCAGAAGAGCACAACTTGGATGTTATGAAAATCTTATGAGGGAATTAGCATTTGAAGTAAGTTAATTTTATTTTCATGAATTTGTGTTTTTTTTTATTTACTATTATCACAAATTTTGCTTAATGTTTAATTTTTAAGGAATTAGCTCTTTTTTCAGAGGGTTTGTTTTTTTATTTAATGCGTAGAATATTTGCTATCATTTTAACACTTGTAGTCTATGCATTTTTTAAGTTCAAAAATTGCATTTAAAGTATTTATGATTTTAATTTAAAATTTGAGTAAAATTGAATAAAATAAAAGTTTAATGTATAATTTATTAAATTTCAGGCTTGATGTGATAAATGTATCAAGATAAAAATTTAACTATTTTTTGTCAATATCAAATTTTGACTTGGCAGTAACAATTTTCAATATGAACTATTACATTTCAGTTAAATCAATGTTTCATCTCTTGTATTTATAATTGTTATGTATAGTTGTTTAAAATGAATAATGTACTTTGTAAATTAATAGAACATATTTTATTTTTTTCTTCATAAAAGAATCTTTAATGAAATTATTTATTTAAACTCTCTTAGCCTTTTTAAATAAAAGCGACTGATTACCATGAATAATAAATTATATATATATATAAGTTCAAAAAGAAAGGAAAAATACATAAAAATGAAGAAAAAGGGGGAAAAGGAAAATAATGAAAAAAATAAAAAACCAAAAACCCGGTAAAAAGGGATAAAAAGTTTTTAAAAAATCCGGAAAAAAAAGATATAATCTTTTCATCAGCCCACACGATTATATCCGCAAGATCATTTGATATCACTCTTCGCCACTCTTCGCTTTATAGTTTCATTCTGCTTTTTCTTTATTTCTTATTTTCTGTTTTATGTGTTATTTTTACTTATTGTGTTCTATTTTATTTATTTGTTGTATTTTTGTAAAAAAAATTTTTGAGTGCTCCTCACACTATTGTATCGAGAAATATTACAAAATTAGAAAGTACTATTTCTTGCGGATATAATCGTGTGGGCTGATGAAAAGATTATAACTTTTTTTTTCAGATTTTTAAAAAAAAATTTATCCCTTTTTTTTCTTCGGGTTCTTGTTTTTCTATTTTTCATTATTATTTTCATCTTCCACCCTTTTCTTCATTTTTATGTATTTTTCCTTTTTTTTTAAACTTATTTTCTGAGTTCTATTTACTTTGCAGCTTATGCGCAATAGATCAAACTTATTGTTCATCTTAATTTTCTTCGTGTTTTTTGTTTTTATTTATTTTGCTATATATGTATATATATTATTTTATTTTATAGAATTTTTTATACTCTAGCATTATTGGTTGGCATAATTCTTATTTATTTACTACAGGATGCAGAAGGCTATCGTCGTTTCCTCAGAATGGACACAGAAACATTTGAAATTTTGTTACAAAAAGTTGAGCCCCTTATAGTGAAACAAAGTACTGTCATGAGGATAGCTATCCCTGCAGCAGAACGATTAGCGATAACATTAAGGTATTTGACCACAGGTAAGACCTAAAATAATGTTTCTTTTGAGGTAATTGTTTTAGAAAGTATTTTTCATTGAGGGTATAATTAAGTTTTAATAAACTGGAAAATCTCTCAATGCAAGTTAAAGGTTAAGTAGAGTTTTTTAATTTATTTGTTGGAAATTTTTTATTGCTTGATACATTTATACTGTTTAGACTTAAAAAAATATCAAAAACATTACTTTAAAAAATGAAATAATGATTATTTAGTTAAAATACGACCCAATAAAATATATTCGTAATTGCTCAAAATTGTCATAAGTTTTCAAAGGTCATAAAATAATCCAACTATTATTTTAGTTTTAACTATCATTAGAGTTCCTATTTTTGTACATTTCTTGTTGGTTGCTTGTTTTAAGATTATATTGAATTGTACATTCCTTTTTTCAGGAGAAACGCAATCTTCTATAGCTTTCAATTTTCGTGTAGCGCAAAATACGATATCGGGTAAAATTCCCACAGTGTGCACGGCTATTACAGATGCTTTAAAGGATGATAACATGAAAGTTCCGATATGTGAAGACGAGTGGAAAAAGATTA